GCCCAGCCACTGGCTTCTTTACTTTTCATTCCATCCAGGAAGAGCACACACCAACTGCTGAAACGTCCTTAGCCTGACAAAGGGTTTTTGAACCCGAAAGCTTGCTTAATAATTATTTTCCAACTATTTGGGTTGGTCTAATAAAAGATATCAGATTCACCCAAGGAACCTTGTCTCCTCAGGTAACAGGACTTTTAAAGAGTGCATGGGCAGGCCAGCACCAAGGAGCAGGTCTCTCCAGCATGTTACCTGTCAGCTCTGTGTTCTTGGGGAACCCTGGCACAGTACACAGCCTGTCTGACTCACAAAGGACTCACCCCTCCCCACCTCTGCCTGAACAAGAGCTGATTAGAGGAAGGACTTACAAAAGACAATGAAGATGCAGTGGGAGACGCACCTAAAGCCCTCCAGACAAGGGTGATAGGAGTAAAGTAACTCCCCTGGTCGCATTTACACGGGAGATGGGACAGGAAAGCACCTTCATTAGCATTCAGGATGGAGAACAGAGATTCCAAGGAAAGGACCGCACTGAACTCTGGGACCAGAGAAGCAGGGGAGCACTGCATGATGGGAAATCCCTGCTCCAAATGCTAATCAACCCACATCCACACACACTCAGCTCAGCATTTATCAAACCAATTCTAGTAATGACTCCTTCACTGGTACCCAAATCACTGAATCTGCCTGTCTGTGTTGTGAGCTCCCTCAGAGTAATGTCACCCATAGCCAGGAGTGATCAGTTCCTATTATCCACCATATGAGCCATCGTTTACCCATAAACAAACCTAGTGTTCTCCCTTAAGCCATTGTTAGTTCTCTACAAAAACCCCTACTCAAGCTCAAGTTTCTGTCCAGGGGCTTGGATCCAAAAGCTGCACCAGTTCCACTCCTTTTCTGCCTGGAATCCTTCCACTGGTCATGCTCAGAACTCTGCCTGTCTGCCAGCTCCAGCAACACCTGGGAACCTCGACTGGTTCAAGCTTTGCCGAATGGTGAGACCCCCAACTCTCTCTCTCTCTGACTCCAGGAACCTGACTTTTGCTTTCTTATTCCACAGCTTTCTAAACCTGACTTTTGCTGATCAGACTTGAGCTAGACCTCCCCAAATACCTAATTGAAACTATGTAATACTGTAACTTTTATTTGTCTCTCTTGTATGGCTATTACTACTGGTATCATCATAAGTTCATCTACCTGGCAATAAATAACTTTTATGGTCAAGCTCGTTTCTATACTCTTTCTCTGAACCCTGCTTACTCTTCCTTCCCCTTGACCTCCCCATTTGCTCTGTAACAATGCTTCTTTTACCTAAGCCAAAGATCCCTGTAATGCCCAAAACTATGGTGGGGTCTGCTCATCAAGGGTGTTACTACTAGGTCCATTGTGACAAGAGATTGGGACGTGCTGAGTTTTGAGGCACATGAGGGTATCAGCTGAAAGTGCTGATCGGGCCCAGCCTGCTTAGACGTACTCTGTTAGCATGTGTGTATGTGCGTCTAACTGTATTTATTATAGTCCTGCTAAAATAAGGGATGAACTGAGTTCAAGGCACATGAGGGTGTCAGCCTGTCAATGCTGACTATCCTGGCCTAACTCAGATGTGCTCTGTTAACCCATGTACTTGTGTCTGACTGCATTTTACTGTTGCCCTGATGAACGGAGTTCAAGGCATATGAGGGCGTTAGCCTATCAATGCTGAATAACCCGACCTGCCTCAGGCATGCCCTGTTAATCTGTGTGCGCATGTGCATATATGGTTTGACTTATTCGGTGGTTGGAGGAAATCAGCCCCATTGAAACTGAGGCCTGCAAGATAGCTCCATTTGGGGTGAGGACTTGCAGAAGGGAGAGATACAGCTCCATATAGAAACTCAAGTGACACAAGCAGCACATTGATGGAATTACAGAGACCCCAGAAACATACCCCTAATAAATGAGTGTACCCCAAAGTGATGGGCAAATCTGGTAACAAGTGCCATACTGCATGTGTGCCCAGACCCTTAAAGGGCCTGTGAGAAGCCTGGGAGCCATGTAAAGTTTCTGGGTCTCAGGCTGCCTGAGAGCAGGGAACACAGGTTTCCTCCACCAGGTGGTCTTTGCCCTGGCAGTCCTGTCTCTGTTGATGCCGGGTGCCAGTTCCGACAGGGCAGCTTGCAAGCCTCCATGACAGCTCACACTGGGCAGGTTGCAAGGGAGCCAGCTGCTCTCCCCATCTGAATCAGCAACTTTTGTCATGGGTCCACTAGATCTGTGGCAGATTGGCCATTTCTTTCTCTGGACAAGTTCTTTTACTGTATGGCACATTACCAGTGGCTGTACTGGTCGACAGTATAAAGTATTGACATTCTGCAGTGGAATGACTGCTCTCAGATTACCTACTGAGTCCCTCTTACCTGGTAAGGAGCAGAGAATGGTTTGACTGGAGATGAAACACTTGCGACTTTCTCCCTCAACACATCAGTCTGGGCTGGTTTCACTTGGTGGTGGTTTTGAAGAGCCTGTTTTCTGGGCAACTGAAGAGGAGATGTATGGAGTGTAAGTAAAAGGGACAGGAGACCCCATGGTCCCAGAGCCCTCCCAAAGTAGGTTATGAGAACAAAAGGAAATCCTCATGTGCACTGCAGGAGTGGTATGGGGGAGAGAGCAGGGTCTGGGAATAGTGGTGGGGGGGGGTCAGTCAGGTGGAAGATGGAGCAAGGTGGCAGTGCTGGTGGGGAGAGGTCAGTCAGGTGGAAGATGGAGCAAGGTGGCAGTGCTTTCAGGTGTGTCAGATCATAACAGTGGGTCAGCTTGGAATATTGAAATCTAGATTACTGAGTGATGTTCATTTTTAGTGCCGCTGGAGGAAAGCCTCCTCTGATTGATTGCCTGTGTGCAACACTGCACCTCTTCCTGGGGCAGAGCAATCTCCTCTGCCTTGCAGAAGCCTAAAATCAGTTTTGGACTGGTGAGCTCTGAGTGAATTAGACATATCGCAGTTTGGGCAGTGGTGGCAAGAGAGAGAAACTTCTCACTGGCAAGGAGGCAGGCAGTTGTGCACAGAGTAGAGCAGGTGGGAGGACTGCATGGGCTTGTCAGAGGGACAGTGAGTGGTGCAGCATGGGCAGGGGAGTGAGAGACTCCAGGCAGAGTGCAGGAAGGTTCAGCACCCACCCGTGTGTATCTGCATGTGTGAGGGAGGTGTTTGCCCCTCCCACCCTGGAGCTGGCACCAGTCGATGTGGGAGCAGGTTGTGGAGCTGCTTCCTGGGCTGGTGAGTCAGTGGGAAAAGGGAAGGGGCAAAGCTGCTTGCCCACATCTCGAGACAGCACCATCCTTCCCCCCAGGTTTGGGAAGCCGAAACTGGGAGGAGGGGTTGCTGCTGCTGGACACTGGTCACCACCATGGGAGTGTGGCTAGGCCAGTCTGCTCGTGGACCACTGACTTTCTCATTTGGATGACAATAGTGCCAATCTATGCAAATAAAACAAGGCACCCTAAGGTCCAGAGTGCTCCTTGCCTAGGGGCACCTCTCCCCATCCTGGCTACTGCATCTGGGAAAACAGAAACATCTCCATTCTAGATCCTGCTCCATCCGCTGCATTCTTGTCATCAGTAAAACCAACCTCCCACTTATCTCTATCCCACCCTCCCTCTCTGGCTTTCTGTGCATGTCTAAAAGATGCAGGCACCTTAGAAAAGTACATGGGACAGACAGAGCCCCTAAGACCTGGACCGTGAGCTCAGACAAGGTAACACTGTGTTTACTGCCAGCCCCTGAGTATGTGGGAAGCAACCACTGCTGCTTAAAGGCTGCTGCTCTCCCTCCCACAACTGTCATGGATAAAATGGTAGGATCCTTAAATAGGGATAATTTATGGGATTTGCTATATTCCCTAAATCAGATATGGGAGTCAGATAAGCTGGCAGAAGGAAATGACATAAGAATGGTAAAAGTGGCCTTGGGAGAAAAATTGTTCCTTATTGTCTGGAAAGGTTTGTAAGGGTGGAGAAAGAAATATAATGGCCATCATGAGCGATGTTGCAAGAGTATTTGCGAATGATGGGATGCTGTCCACGGTAGCTAGATATGTACAAAAACTGGGTAAAGATGCTAAAATATTTATAAATAAGTTGTGGCTAGCCTTCCAGATAGGGGTCAATTTAAACATGCCCGGCAGGACGATATATGAGGGATGCTAATCCATTGTTCAAACAGCTCCTGTTTCGTGTACTCAACAGGGAAATGAAAAGCAAGTTCCCATTGCTGTGAGATTTAGGGTTAGACTGGGAGACAATTCAAGATGCAGTACTGCGTGTGCAATGCAGTAATGGAGCCTATTAGAAAGGGAAAGGAAAAGTCTCAATTGTTACATTTAGTAATAATGGACTGATGAAGACAAAGAAGTCTGTGGGAGAAAAAAGGGAAGGCTTCAGGGAACCAACAAAAAGTCAGAATCCTGTACAGCGCAAATCTGGCACCAGCTTATTAAATAGGAAAAAGGAGAAGTAGTAGATGGCCTGCCTACTGTACAGTTATTTTGATGATTATCCCATCACAAATAATGGGTAGGGCTGGGACCTAATGCTTCACCTCCGAGGTGTTTCTGGTATCCCAGTTTCTGATAGTCCCCTTTTTCTAGTACCCATAAAATATGACAGCTGGGGGGCGGTCCTCTAGTGAAAGTGCAGTTTGGATGTGATAAACATAGTCAGGCACTGAGGCAAACAAAGCTAATCAACATGGGTGCTTTGTTTTAAATTGTGAAGAGGCTCAATTCTCACACTAGAAGCAAGGAAGGGGAAAGAGGCTTGAAGGGTTTAAGGGAAAATAATCATTAGTACCCTTCCCACAGGTGAAGCCGTTTGGAATAGGGACCCAATAGACTGCAGTCACATGCCAAATTATAAAATGATGGCAGCAAGGAATAGTGGGCATAGATAGCTTTAAAAAATACAAATAACTGGTTCTAAGTAATAAAACCATGTTTTTTCAGATGGCAGGTAGCATGGTGGATGAGCTCCCCCATGTGGTTGTGGCAAGGCATGTATGTGCTGCTCTCAAAGCTGGAGAAAGCATAATGAAACCTGAATGGAAAAAAGATGTCCAGACCAAAGCTGATAAGTGCCCACAGACGAGAGCCCAACATAAATTGGAATATGGGAAAACTGAAGCCCTGCCGTTAATTGCTGGACCTAATCCCCTACCCCAAAACAATACATATATCCAACTGAGGCTGACTGCTGACTTCAAGAAACCATAAACACTTTGCTAGGACAGGACGTGGCAGTAAAACAGCAGAGTACCAACAATGCCCCCCATCTGGCTTGTAAGAAAAGTATGGAGGAATCAAACAGGAGATCAAACCCCTCTAAAAGGAACAGGGAATCACAGATACAGAGGGTGCATTAACACAAGACATTTACTGCACAGTTGATTAATTAGCTGCACAGTAAAAGTCATGCGTCTACACGTGCGCTCCTATTTGGCCAGAGTAAACTAATTTACTCCACAGCAGGATAGTACTTATAAAGAAAAGTACTATCCTGCTGCAGAGTAACAAACTCCACAGCAGCACACATGTAGATGCTGCCCCAGCTGGCAGGGGCACAAGGGATACATACACACATACTAAGCCAACTTAAAATAAGGTGACTTAACTAAAGCAGCTTAACTATGCTGACTTAAGTTAAGCCATGAAGCAGCATACACCCATACAGCTCCTTCACGTGGTGACAGCCATCTTCTGAGCTAAGTCGACTTAACTAATGCAGCTCAACATAATACTCCTTGGAAGTGTATTATCTTGTGCCACAATTAAGCCAACTCTGCTCCATGTATGTTTGTACACTCTGACAGTTAAATCATCTTTAAAAAAGTTAAGCTGGCTTAACTGTCAGAAAGTGAGTATGTGTGTACACATCTGAGGCTACTTCAGTGCGGGGGGCTGCCTACCAGATAGCCATGCGCTAAAGCACCCTTATGCCCCAGACAGCCCCTCCACAGCACGTTGAGCTGGAAGGAGGAGCCCTACGCTGGCAGGCTGAACCCCTGCGCCCCATGCCAGCTGGGGCTGCTACATCCCAGCTCAACATACTGTGCATAAATAAACTCTGGGGCTCATTGCTCCAGAGATTATTGCTCCAGAACTTATTCCTCCACATTAATTGCATGTGTAGGTGCACCCAGAGAGGAGACAGGAATAACATGGGGGATTTTTCAGCTTCTGACAGTCATGAATCTGCTGTTCACAGTCATCAGATTGAAACTGTGGGTCAGTAAAATGTCAATGAGAGACACAGGAATGTGCTCCTTATCCTCCTCCATGCACATGCATTGGGATAGCTAATAGAGGTACGCGAAGTGCGCCCTATTCGATTCAGATTCAGATTAAGCCTGAATCAGGGACAGTGATTCGATTAGTTGATTTGGATCCACATGCTTGGCAGCGAACCCGGAAGTGGACTGGAAGTGCTTGCAGTCCACTTCCGGGTCTGCCAGGAAGCATACTGGGGGCCCCCCCCATGTCTCCCCAGCTCAGCAACTGACCACAGAGGGACCCCAGGTGCCCCCAGTAGACGAAGAAGGCACCAGTCACCAATCCAGGGGAGTGCAGAGGCATGCTTCCTGGTGGACCTGGAAGTGGACCAGAAGTGCTTCTGGTCCACTTCCAGGTCTGCTGCCAAGTGCGCTGGGAAGCCCCCCGCACTTCTGTGGGATGGTCCATGAGCCCCAGCACTGCAGCATTCACAAGCCCCTGCTACCTAGAGGTATGTACAAAAAACATTTAAAGCTGTCTCTTACGTCCAAATCTCTGAATCTTTCCAAATCTCTCTGAATCGATTCGGAGGTTTCCATTTTGATTCGGAGAGATTAAAGAGTCCTCTGATTCAATTTAGATTCAGAGATTCAGCCACTGAATCAGGCTGAATTGAATCAGGGACCGAAGCTTTGCATAGCCCTAATAGCTAACCTCAACCACAAAAGGAAAAGGGCACATCACCAGACTGCATCCTAGGAAAGGTTTGCACTGCTTACCTTCCCTTCACTCCCGAGAAGGGGACACTGCTAGCACGTCAACTCACACCACAGAGAGGGAGGTTGTGCCACTAACCTCCCCCTAATGTGTGGGTAAGGAGAGCTGCTAGCCTGCTCTGAGGAATGGGCTGCACTGCTCAACAGTGTGCTGCCCTTTCAGCTTCCCAAATAAGGAACAGGAGAGGGATGTCACTTTACCACCATTAGGAAGTCTTAAGGGAGCGTAATAATCTACCAAAGGCTGGTGGGGGTCCTTAAAACACAGCATCCATCTTTTGCTTCAGGTAAATCCTTAAGGGACTTTAAGGATTCTTTCCTTACCTTCTCAAAATCATCCACAAAGCTGGAGAAAAGCCGGTCATTTTGGGGGATGGGCTGAAAAAGAACAGGACACAGGAAAAGACTTGTCACTAAGCAGAGAAAAAGAGCACTATAAAGACTCTAAGGCAGGGGTTGGGAATATTTTTGGGCAGAGTGCCATGAGGGACCCAATCCTTGTTGTTACCATACAGCCCCGGCCCCTTCCTTGACATCCACCCAGGGGTACACATGCCAAGAAAAATGCTATTGAGTGCCACGCTCTGGCACCCATGCAGGTGGTTGTCTACCCCTGCTCGAAGGAGAAGACAGGACAGATGGAGTCCAACTACCCTTCTAAGAACGTTACAGTAACACTGAAACACGAAAAGGAGTTTCCTCCCAAATGAAGGCAAGTATGGGATATCCATTGTGCCAGAAGATGAAGCTAAGGAAGACCTCACTACCACAATCCCTATGCTCTTCCCCTTACCCTGCTGCAAGACAGGCTGTGCCATGTAGGAATAGAGGTATTTGAAAGGTGGAAGTTGATTTGCAGATTTTAACGCCAGAATGGGCCACTCTGATCCTATCATCTGATTATTACTATCTGACAAACCATAGGATCCTACCCAGTATGCAAGTAGGCAGAAGAATGAGAAAAAAATCCTATATCCGTGTAACAGGGCAAAGACAGACCAGTTCCTTTGATGTTACAAAGTTGCGAGTGCAGGGGAGAATTAGGTCAGGGACAGGACAAGGATAAGTACTTAGCAGACACAGTTGGGAAGGGGATGGCACCCAGGGTGAATGTTGACGGATTAGGAGCCAACAGCTATTAAAGTCCATGACTGGGGGCGTTTCTTTGCCCTCTGGGGCACAGCATGAGGAGGTTCAGTGGGGACTCCAGGAGCAGCTAACTCAGTGCTGAAACACATTGCTGATAAGACCGACTGACCCACTGAAGTTAATCACTGCGACTGTCGAAGCAAGGAGGTGAGGGAGAGAGGAGAGACTTACCAGCTGGGTCTTCCGGCGGAGAGAAGGTCCCACAGAGAAAGGATCCACTGGTACCTGCAAGACAGGGAAAAGAGAGTGGGGCTGGAGTCGAGCTGACTGACTCAGGGGAGTGGATTGCACGGTGGTGGAGGGCAAAAAGAAGACCCCAAGCTATGAGAACAGCCGGGGTTTTCCACAACCTGTGAGGAATTTGCTAATAAACCAATTTTCTTTTATCCCACTTCTGGGGTGACTTACTACACCCTCTCTCATTGGGGAATTAACTTCTTATTTTTCCATCATTCCAAAGCATGGCAGGCAAGCCCCAGGGAGAGAGATTTCTTTATTCACCCCCACATGGCCACAATCCTACTGCTAGGTATCACTATAATAAAACATTGGCTTCCATTATTTATCAGGAACATGCTGCTGGTGACAGGCTAGTGAATTAACAGATTGTGTCTGGAAACCTGTCATAAAAACTAGTCAACACTTCAAACCTTTTTCCTTTCACAAGAACTACGTGTTATGGCAAATGGCAAGGAGCATTTACTAATGCCATTAACTACCAGTTAAAATCCATTCACCAAAACAGAATGTGCGGTGTCCCGCCCGGGGTTTGCTTGATTGCTAAGCTTACTCATTGAGGCTCCCTGCAGACATTATTTCTGTAATACTACAAGATTTGTAGCACTACAAAAATGAAGTGCTATGGGCAACCATACATTCAAACCCCCTGGCTAGAGCACAGAATTGCCACAAAGGCATGCTCTCCAGCCAAGGAGCAATAAAGAGCTGCTCCATAGCACCTCCCACTCCTGCCTTCAGGGACCTCTTTAAAGGGCTCCCAAGCTAGACAGACTCACTGACAGGCCTATAAGCCCCTTTTCTCGCAGTTCCTAGGCAACCCAAGAGCCAGCTGGAACTGATTTCGTGTTGTCCGGGAGCCTGCTAGTGTTCCCCGTGTTTAATGGGCTACTGGTGTTGGAGCTACAGCAGCCCTTTACATTGTCAGGAGTTGCTGAGGGCCCATCACCCTTGTTAAGCAGTCTACACCCCAATCAGCCCCTGCTGTCACCTGCACAGCTCTGGCAACTTTGCCATTACGCAGCAAGGGTAATAGGGTTGTCCACGAGTCCCCATAGCAACAGGGGCTGATAACAGAGCTGTGCCCCTAACCAGTTGTTGCCACTTGCACTGGGGGCAAGCATGAAGGGCTCCTTGCAAGCACAACAGGAGCCACTGGGGGTGCAGACCCCACAACAGCCTCTGTCACCACTTGCAGGGAATCCCCTTAGCCTTACCACCCAAGCAGGGCTGTTCCTGGGCACCCTGTGAGGTGAGGGCCTGCTCTTCCTGCAGTCCCCTGCTCTGCAGGTATTGGCACTCTTATGGGTGCCTCCCCAGGCACCCAGACCTTTAAAGAGTGCATGGGCAGGCCAGAACCAGGAAGCAGGTCTCTCCGGTGCCATATTGCCTGGGTGCCCAGACCCTTAAAGGGCCTGTGAGAAGCCTGGGAGCCATGTAAAGTTTCTGGGTCTCAGGCTGCCTGAGAGCAGGAAACACAGGTTTCCTCCACCAGGTATTCTTTGCCCTGGCAGTCCTGTCCCTGTTGCTGCTGGGTGCCAGTTCCGACAGGGCAGCTTGCAAGCCTCCATGACAGCTCACAATGGGCAGGTTGCAAGGGAGCCAGCTGCTCTCCCAATCTGAATCAGCAACTTTGTCATGGGTCCACTAGATCTGTGACACACATCCCACAATAAACATAAGGTCTGGAGGGGCTTTGCATGCTGCAGTGGCTGTACCAGTCGACAGTGTGAGGTAGTGACATTCTGCAGCGGAACGACTGCTCTTAGATTCCCCACTGAGTCCCCCTTACCTGGTAAGGAGCAGAGAATGGTTTGACTGGAGATAAAACACTTGCAACTTTCTCCCTCAACACATCAGTCTGGGCTGGTTTCACTTGGTGGTGGTTTTGAAGAGCCTGTTTTCTGGGCAACTGAAGAGGAGATGTAAGGGATGTTAGTAAACGGGACAGGAGGCCACATGGTCCCAGAGCCCTCCCAAAGTAGGTTGTGAAAACAGAAGGGAATCCTCGTGTGCACTGCAGGAGTGATGTGGGGAAAAGAGCAGGGTCTGGGAATGGGGCGGGGAGGGAGGTCAGTTAGGTGAAAGATGGGGCAAGGTGGCAGTGCTTTTAGGTGATCACACCAGTGGGTCAACTTGGAACACTGAAATCCAAATTACTGAGTGATGTTCATTTTTAGTGTCACTGGAGGAAAGCCACCTCTGACTGCCTGTGTGCAATGCTGCTCCTCTTCCTGGGACAGAGCAGCCAAGCAGAGTGATCTGCTGTGACCTGTAGCAGCCTAAAAGCACTTTTGCATTGGTGAGCTCTGGGTGAGTTAGATGTACTGCAGTTTGGGCAGTGGTGGCAAGAGGCAGAGACTTCTCATGGGCAAGAGGGCAGGCAGTTGTGCAGAGAGTAGAGCAGGTGGGAGGACTGCATGGGCTTGCCAGAGGGACAGTGGGTGGTGCAGCACGGGCAGGGGGGTGAGAGACTCCAGGCAGAGTGCAGGAGGGCTCAGCACCCACACGTGCATATCTGCATGTGTGAGAGAGGTGTTTGCCCTTCCTGCCTTGAGCTGGCATCAGTGGATGTGGGAGCAGGTTGTGCAGCTGCTCCCTGGGCTTGTGAGTTAGTGGGAAAGGGAAGAGGCAAAGCTGATTGTCCTCATCTCCAGGGGTGCCTGGCTATGCTAGTCTGGCAAGCCAATGAGCTCTTGTACTACCAACTTTCTCATCTGGATGCAGGCACTTCAGACAGAGCCCCTAAGACCTGAGCCAGGAGCTCAGCCAGGTGGCCATGCAGGGCAACAAGGTGCCCCTGTGTTCCCTGCCAGCCCCTGAGTATGTGGGAAGCAACCACTGCTGCATGAAGGCAGCTGCTCTCCCTCCCACAAAGGTGGGTGGAAATGGGAGGTTCTTTGGCCCTCCTCACAGAGCTACCAGTGCACTGGAATGGGCACAGAAGAGTAAATAATTTGTAGCAGAAAACAGGCTGATACAGACTCCTTCCTTTCTGGTGAAACCATGGGCTGAACTCTGCGTCTCTGCAACAGTCTACTACTCCCTGCTCTGCTCCCGAGCCAATACAGCTGTGCACTGCTCCTTACTTACAATGCACTGGAATGCACCAGTGCATGCACAGAGATTACACCAATGCCCTTTTGTAGCACTTTTCTATGATTCTAGATGTGGTGTCCCTCTCACCTGATGGGACAGGCCTGATAGTTTAGGCAGCTGCTTCCCAGCTCTAAACATCATTTTGTACATAGGTGAACAGCCGAGCTGGATGTTTGTAAGACTTGCAGATTCAGCAGGCATCTGTAGTGGAACACAGCAACAGAATGATGGTACCATTTCACACACACTCATAGACAAGTGTATTAAAGGAAGAGAGGGGCAATACAGTACCTGCTTTGGGCCAGTATTGTCATGACAGTTTGAGATAGGATGAGACCCACCATGTTCCGACCACAGATGAATGCCATACTTCCCTCCTGAAACAGCAGCTGGGAGATCAGAGAGGTACATGTTAGAAAGACAGTTCCACATAACTTTCATATTACAAACCCTGGCACCTCATGGTGAATGGCACCACCACAAAACCAATATAAACCATGTGATGTATCTGATTTACTGGGATAAAAGCTGTGAAATTGTTAAAGGACATTCAGTCTGTCACCTGGTACATTGCACAGTATTCCTGATACTTCCGCATTCTCTCTCAGGCTTATTTTACTTGCAATATAATGCCACCATGCTATTCTCTTTTGCCTTCTGTTTAATGGAACTAATTTAGCCAAATACATCTGCTTCTTCTGAATTACTGTTGCGATGCCATAACCAAAATGGTACCTAAAAGCAATGTCTTTGGATGAGGCAGAAACAAGCTTGTCCAAGTTTGGAGTAGCTGATAAGTTTGTGTACTATATGTATCATACAAAAAATACCAAGGTAGCTTGTTCAGAGGTACTGGTAGCTCAAATACCAAAAGCATCATGGCAATATTAGTGCCTGGATTAATAAATCTTGCTGAGAAGCAGGTTTATATTAGCCCAGGTAGTGTTGCAGGAACACAACTGTGTTACTGCTAGGACCTAAGGATAGCTCATTTAGAGAGAGCTCATTTCAACAGAGCTTGTTTCAGCAGCAGCAGCTCCAGCCCATTTTAATTGAATAACTGAATGTTAATCTTCTTCCTCAAAAGGAAGTTATTGCAGTACTTTATAGTTCTAGGAAACAATCCAATGCGGGGAGGGGGCTGCTTACAAAAACACTTTCCACCTGTAGTGCTTAAGTAAAGCTAAAGGGGCATTAACACATGTGGAGTGGAAAGACATTAGCAAGAATCAGGGAGAAGTTTGGTGGGTTAGTGCTTTAGCTGATTTGACTTCATTATATTCATTTGTATGAAAGATTTTCCAAGGGGGTTGTTGACATGAGAAGATCTAGGATTTTGAAAAGGGAGATGCGGATGACATGGCATATCAGCACATATAACACAATACATTTTTCTCCTGTAAAAGAGAAACTAGAAGCTTTACTGATATGATAATGGATGACCACTATATTATTCAGTTTAAGATCAAAGCAAAACAAATATAATTATTGGAATGTGAACTTATTTTCCAAGATTATATATTATGTTTGAAAAACACAAGGAACTAGGCACAATGGTTTAATATAGTCAAAAGGTTAAGTAATTAATCCTGCAGCTATTATAGTTATATGTATGTCTCTTATTCAGAGTCATAAAACAAAATCTAGCCTTCTTGAACATCCTGATAGTGCTGCCAGTACTTCACTGTCAGTCATTTCTAAAGAGTCTGCAGAGCTGTGAAATAGTAGAGATACATTATCAGGAATAGGTAACAGACAACAAAATTGCAGAAGAAAGGATAGCTTGAATAGTGGAACATCAAATCAATGAAAAAAGAGGGAGGGTTGTTACAGGTGTGGAGTAGAGAGACATTAGCAAGAACCAGGGAGATGATAATGACATTAGTAAGAATCAGGGAGATGATACTGCACCCCCGTATTTACCTATGGTTGTTGCCATAGTAATTAAATAGACTAAGGTCTCTTTATTTGAAACTCCAAACTGTATTTGATGGGTTAGAGCTGATCAGCAGGATCCTGGTTTTCTCTGTGTCCCAGGGGTGCTACCACAGGGGAGCTAGAGACCCCTCTCTCAAGGGACCCTGGGACGGGAATTGCACATTTCAAAGAAAAGGATTACAAAAGGAATCACTTACCGTATACAGGAAAGCAGACACTGAGGGACCAAAAGATAGAGCCAGCGCAGTTTACAAGCCGCGCCTATATACAGCTGGGACCGGCGGGTGATGTCAGAGGCAATCACCTGCCGGCAAAGATAAAAGAGGCCAACGAGAGCAAAGAGGGGAGAGCGGGGAAGACGGCAGAGGCTCTCCATGCCAGCAGCAGTATGAAAATGGACCCCAGAAGTGGAGAGTAGCAGCGGAGGCTGCAGAGACTCTCCAAGACATCAGTGAGCCACCCTGGCTCGTAGATACTAAACAGAGTGCAGCGGCGGAGGCTGCTGAGGCTCTGCAAGCTGGCTGCAGACAGTGTCAAGCCGGGAGCAGACACCTGGATCAGAGAGCAAAAATAGAGGTTACTGAAGCTCTGTGCGCTGGCATCAAGTGGCGCCTGGACAGACAAGCAAGGTATGTCCAGGGCCAGGCACCCTGGGTGGTGGAAGAAGAACCCCATACCGGGGGTAATCCATGTTGGGACCCGGAGAACAGCACCACCGAGGATGGAATCACGACTAACCCAGGAACGACAAAGACTTCACACTCCAGTAGGTCACAGGTACCGGATTGTAAAGATAGTTTGATCCAGGGAAGGGCAGAAGATAGATCCATGGAGGGTTAGAGCACAGCAGCGTCTATGTCCCTTTTCTCTGTCTGCTTTTTTGTCCTTTTTGTTCTAGACCCCTTTTTGTCCTGGTTGTAGTCTATATTAACATGTTTGTATTCATTGTTTTTTTGTCGGGGTCTGGCCATTTTGGTTTTCTTTTCCTTTGGTTCTCTTGTGTGTCACTGTGGTCAGGGTCATCTCGAGGAGAATTCGAACTGTGTCACATCATTAGAGTGACCCCAAGGCTCAATAAGTGGTTGCCAACCATGGGGGAAAAAAGGCAGAACGGGCACAACCAGTAGGCCCGTGATTCATCACGGAAACAAACCTGAGAAAGTAACCCTGAGGAGGACATCCAGATCAGGAGTCATCTTTATTGGAGGGACGGCTGCCCCAAGATCTGGAGGCCTGCCGGAGGTTGGCGTAAGGGAGTAGGGGAGGTGGAGCCCCATGAACATCCACTGGGAAGAGTGACCAACCCTGAGGGACCAACAGAGGAGGAAAGCCCCACTGAAGATACAATCAAAGTCATGGCAGACAAGTTTAGGGGCCTCCTCAGGGATGATTGAAGTCCCACCCAGGGATCGCATGAGTCCCCTTGGCGTCCACTACCAGGCGCTCGTGCTAGGGTGGTGCGGGAATGGGTGTTTGAAGCCCAGCGGACACACTCTGATAAAAAAAATCCCCAATTTTCAGATTTAAAAAAGTAACCCAAAATCCACATTTTTCCATGGTTAATACGAAACATCACTATAAGCTATACATTAGTGTCATTTCATTTAATCATGGAAAAATGTGGATTGGGGGGGGGGGTTTATAAAAAAATGGGAATTTATTTTTTTTATCAGAGAAAACTAGGATCCTTGCTGATCAGGGACATGGAAGGTTAACATCTTTGACTCTGTCCCAGATCATTCCACTGAAATTAACACAATTAACACACATTCTACTGAAACGAACACCTTCCCACCAAGGGTCACCCAACTGGGAACAGAAACCCTATAAATCCTTTCCAGCTTTGTCTTGCCCATAGTAATGGGACCTCTGCATCATTGATCTAATTCCTTCTCACTTGGCTGAAGATTGAGAAGCATTTCAACATGACTGTCATTTGATGGTTAACAAGAACAAGCTGGCAGCTGATTTCCTAATAGATGACGATCTGTGTTGCTTGTATGAACCTGGCTCAGGATGTCTGGGATGCTGAAAGCATCCTGGCATGGTTGGTAAATGAGCTATGTTTTTTTGCCTGGTCTGGATACTGGGCACGCCATGGACCTGGAAACACAGGCTGGATCCAGATGTGCAGGCACATGTGGTTTGTGGCACTATAAACCTCTTTACAGCACCAAAAACTTCACAAATTGCACATTAATCAGTATGCAGCTCTGTTAATGTGCAATGCTGGGGCAAAATTTGCTACTGGGATTTCCCAATAGCAAAAAAAAAAAAAGTCCTGGAAAAAAAGCAGCACAACACACGCCAAAGTGGGGAGCACTGGGACAAATGTAGAGACAGGGGAGCAGGTAGCCCAGGGCTGCCTGCTCTCCCATCTCCGCACACTGTGGAGCTCCCATGCTAGAGCTCCCTGCCTGGCTGAGGTGCAGGGTGCCTTAAGACAGGAGAGCAGGCAATTCTGGACTAGCTTCTTCCCTGTCAGCACTTGTCTCAGCGTGGGGGCTCCACTGCACTGAGGCACACGGGGCTCCCGTACTGAGGCATGCTGCACCCCAGCCAGCTTCTCCCCACCTGGCTGGGGCACAGTGTGACTCAAGACAGGGAACAGGCAGCCTTGGGCTGGCTGCTCCCCTGTCTCCACATGCCTCAGCATGTGGGATTCACTGTGGAGGCATACTGCCCCGGGCTGGAGAGGCATACTGCCCCCATGCTGAGGCATACTGTGTGGCAGGCCAGTAGGGGAAGTTCCTGTGCTGAGCCACTCACCTCACTGTGCCCAACCAAAAACCACATTTTGGGTGTCTCCCTGGGGGTGCTACATCCAGCCTACCCCCTCCCTGGAGCACACCCACAAGCCTGGGGTAACCACTGCCACCACCTGGGCCTGGGTCTCTGTTAGGGTTCTGTGCAGCCTGTGGTACACAGACCCTGTAAACCTTGGGGGTGCTTAACCCACCATGGTACTTTGGGGTGCTTCCTTTTAGCCTGAAGCATTCACAAGTAGCCTCCTATACTGGAGGAAGGTAAAAACCTGTGCCCACCTTACAGGTGAGTACAGAGGCTTTAAAGGCTAGGCTCACCCTCATAAGCATTTACAGCATTAGCTTTATTGATCAAAGAGGGAAAGAGTGAAGAAGGAATACAAAAATGGCAAATCGATAGAAAACCCATTTGAGCAAATCAGAATGGGCTTGTTGGCCCTTTTGATACGTGTCTAGTTCACTGAATCTTAAGTTACTGGCTAAATTTCAGGTAAGTTACTCACACATTCATCTGGAGACCGCTGGAGCTCTAGAGCCTGATTGCTTGTTTCAGTGTCCCAAAATGTCTGACCACCCCAAAATGGAGTGACCCCCCCTTTTAAAATCTTTTGTGGTGTCATCCCCAAGTTCCCACCATAGACCAGTAAGTATCCTCAGAACACAGCTGTTGCAGACGGGTTGAAAAACATCAGCAACATCAGGTGAGGAGGAAATAGGGTTACACAGGACAAAAAAAGAGTGAACGCTCCCCCCTCCCTCAGGAATTTCTCCAGCCCGGGTTGCGTAGCTGTCTAGGCGACCAGGTGGATTTAAAGTGTGCAGCTAGAGTAAACCAGTGGAGGGGGGCTGTCTTAGACCAGGAGACATGGAGATAGAGGATTTTTTTCACATGCTGTGGTGCAGCATGTCTCAGCACGGAGGCTCCATGTGCTTCAGCATGGGGGCTCCATTGTGAAGCCCCCACGTTGAGGCACGCAGAGACAGGGGAGCATCTAGCCCAAGGTTGCCTACTCCCCTGTCTCAAGGCACACTATCACAAAGTCCACCGTACCAGTAAGGACCTTTCTAATCTAGGTGGTTCACAAAACCCAGTTAGATCATAAAATAATATCATAATTCTCATTTTTTTTCTTTTCTCCCCAGTTTCAATTCCAGCTTAACTAGCATCTGTGCTGGGAATTGTGAGATCTAGAGCCATCCTTTTATGGTGTATGTGAGCCTGTCGTACCATTTCTCATGCAAAATAAAGCATTCCATGTGAAGAAATAGGATGGTAAAATCCTACTGGAATTGAAGTGAGAAGCGAGTGTCAGCACAGGAGTAATACTTCAGAAATTAACTATTAGGCTCTTACCATGCTGATCAGGTTGTGGCTTTACCTGCTTTTCTCTTGCATCTGTCCTGCTGCTTTTGTCCTTGCATCTGTCCTGCTGCTTGTGTCCTTGTCCCCGCCCCCCAGCCACTCCAAAAGATTCAGTAACCAGTGCAGTATAAAGATGATCAGAGTATATAGAACTCTGCTACCAGCACCCTGCTAAGAGACAGCATAGGTTTTAAAACCAGTCACCAGCTTTACAAGTTACTGTCAGGATTTTCAAAGGAGGTCATAGATCCCAGATCCTAGTTAGGTGGGTGTTTGTCTCCCTGTGAAAATCCTAATATAGATCTCCACCTAACTCTCCAAACAATACAACCACATAGATCTTGGACATGCCCCAGCTGGTAAACTGATAGAAGGAGAAAGTGTTGGAGATAGGTTAGGAAAACCACTCTGCTCTCCTGTTCACTTCAGTGCTAAAATAATAGCATTTCAAATACTAGAGAGGCAGCAGCTCCTGGGTGGCATTAATGCTACTACTAGCAGTACAATGTTCAGCAACCTAACAGGAATCAGATCCCTGGTGTTCCCATGTCCACAGCACAAGATTAGTGAGAAATCTGGACCCCTGCCCAGTTTTTCTACCCTATTCTTCCTCCATTGCCTACATAAACTCCATATGATAGTGTGGTATGCCATATGCTACACTCACTATTGTGGCTGCACTTTAATGTGGTCCCTGCCACAATGTAGGCTACAGGACCCTGGAGCTGCAGCTAGATTTTTGCTTAAGGACGTGGGAAATGCATCTCAGAACAGCAAATGCAGTTTGCTGTCATGACTGGAACACCCAGTCTCTAAACAGGTTCCATTATCTCCTAAAACAGGCGTTTGCATGAATCAGGAATTGGTGTTTAGCACTCTTCACTTTCCAGGTACTGGGTCAAAATTAGCCCAGGTTGGGAGTGAACAGAAATCATTATGCAATCATTGCCCTAGTACAAGATGTGATCTCACATCCTAGGAAATAGGGACCAGGGTCAGCAGGGAGAAGGACCAAAGTGGCGTAGGGATTGCATTACTGATGATCTCTGTCAGTGCTGGTGTTGGTCTCCTCAGGTCAGGGTTAGCAGGGAGCAGTTTGGCAGGTGGCCCCATGCTGAATGCCAGTGGTCTCTGATGCTTCTCACAGTCCAGACCTGCCATAGCATTGGGTGAACTTTAACAGCCACCAAAATACTCAACTGGGAAAAGGAGTGGGAAAGCCACTGAGGGGGCCCAGGAACTGGGACAGGTTGTGGGGAGCAACTGCCCTTGAGTTCTAGAGTTCTCGGCAATGCTGCATCCACGGCAATGGCATCATTGCTAGTATTTGAGTTTGTGAGCAGTTCCCGTCTGTGCCCTTCCCATGTCTCTCTATTGTCATGGTTTCCAATACGGACTTGAGTCCTCCTTCCCCTCCTGGCTATGACTGTGTAGGCTGAGGCCAGTCCCTGCCTCCCTCCCTCCCTCTATTACCAGTTGCCAGGATCCCCACTCCTGGGCCATGTCTCAAAACTGAGAAGAGAAAGGCAGTTAGCAGTGTTAACTGCAAGTCTGTTCATAGTATCTGACGAAGCAGGTTGTCACCTATGAAGCTTATGTATTTTGAAATGCATTAGTCTCACAGGTGTCACCTTGCCCTGCCTTCTGTCAAAAATGAGAGGAGCAAAAAGAGTGCCAGCCCTGAATTATTTAGTTGGTCTAATAAAAGACAACACATCTACCCAAAAAACCTTGCCAGCCTTGAATTAGTATCATAAATGGAGCATGCTCAGGTTGTCTCACTTCAGACCTTTCTCCTCCCCAGTCAACCTACCTAAGCCTTCTCCTCTCTTCATTCACCCCCTGGTCTTGATCCCCACTTCCAGCTCTGACAACATCTCACCTCCAGTTCAGGACTATCCCTGCCAAACTTCACCTTCTCCCCCAGCTTCACCCATCCCTCAGACCTCCTCCTATAGACCCCATCCTTTCCTACTTTTCCCCTTAGTTCCTAGTGCCCTTTGTAACCGACCCCTCATCTCCCCATCCCAAATCTTACCTGGGAGGCCTTAAAACGGTTATTAAGGATCTCACCCCTTTCCTGCATGGCTGCCATTGGGCTACCCTGAGGAGCTAGAGAAAACACACCCTAAGACCTTGGATGCTCTCCTCTAACTGAAGTGCTCTGTGTTCCTTCCGTCTCCATGGCTACCGGAGCCCCATTGTGAGCTAATCCTTGGGTGGGTGAGAGGCCTGTAATAGGAACAGAGGGGGAGAGGGAGGAGATATTCAGGGGAACCAACAGCAAGGAGCTGCTACAGATGGCAGATGGGCTTGATAGTTAATGTTCTGTCTGACCCAGAAAAAGGAAGGTTGGGTGGCCTCAAAACCATTTCCTGGCTGACCCCTTCCTGAGTGACGGGTTTCTGCCAGGAGGAGGTGCTGGTTCCACAGCCCCAGGACCCAGGCAGTCTGCACAGCCTTTGTGGACCCAGTACCTAAAACCACCATGGCACTAGATTTCACTCGTTGTGCTGATCATAATAATAAGCAGGGATCAGGGATTTTTGTGCACCATGGAAAAACACAGATTTTCTCATTTTAAGAAAAACATGGATTTTCTCTTCTTAAGGAGAAAAATGCATGTGGGAAATGGCAAGGTTCCCCTTGCAGCTGGCAGAGTTCCAGCCTGAAAGGGGCTGTGGGGAGTGGGAACATGGTGATCAGGCAGAGGGCACCATGTGCATGTGAGCGCATACACATGCATGTTGCAGCCAGGCAGGATGGAAAGCAGTTCCTGCAACTCCCCACAGATAAGTCAGGGCAGGAGTGGGGATTGAGGTCCCCATAGTGAAGGAGGGAGGGAGTTGCACAGGGCTAGAGTGGAGGCACTGCCCAGCTGGGGCAGGGCATGAGGCCTGGGACTTGGGAGCCGGGGCCGGGGTGGAAATATGTGGCTGCAGGGCACGGGTGGGGAGTGGGGTGGGACCGCAGATGGCTCATCCGGGAGGTGAGGGGAGCTTTCTCCCTGCCACTGTGCATGCTCCTGGGGGGTCATGGGGCATATGCCCCCCAGATTTGTGTGTGGGGCAGGGGCAGATGCAGGCTGGCAGCTGTGGGCTTAGGGATCCCCACCCTGCTGCCTTCCCCCCGTGGGGCATACGTGGCCCAGCGGGCGAGACCCAATGCAGTAAGGCAGAGCAAGGCAGGGAAGCTCAGTGCTGCCACCAAGAGCCCTGCACTGCCATGGTGAAGTGCCCCCTGCCCATGGGCAGCAGTGGGGGTGGCAGTGCAGAGTTGTGTACCCCACTGCTGCCGGGGGGCAGGGGAAGCCCAGGGGCAATGGCACACTGGCATATCAGGGCTGCTCAGTGCCACAAAGCAGCGGGGGGACAGTCACAGTTGGACCTGCGTCCTGGTGAATGAAGGCTGTAGGAGGAGCTCTGATTTTCTATGATAAAAAATCAAAAATCAAATGCCACTGTTCCTCTCTCTTTTGATGTCTCCAGCATTTAAGGTCAAGGAACTTCTGATTCAGAGACTGTATCCCTAATCCCCATTCTCAATAGCTACTGATGTTCCTTGCCTCAAAGAATGTGTCCAATTCCTTCTTGAATCTGACTAAAATGTCATCTTCCACCACATCTGGTGGCAATGAGTTCCACACTTTAATTATACCATGTGTGAAAAAGAACTTCCTTTTCTTAGTTTTAAACTTACTACCTAGCATAGCCCAGGCCGGCTGATCTATGCAAGACTGCTAGGGGAGTCCTGGCTCTACGTTGCTGTCTGATTTTGTTTCACTCCAGATCCCATATTGTTTTGTGTCTAGTTTAAAGAAGTTCCAAATGGCAAGAAAAACAAATTAATGATGCTAAGATTTAAATGAGTGGTCCTGAACATACCCTTACTGAAATGAGAGTGATTTTTCACTGAACTCTTCTTCCCTATTATTTATTAAGCTTATTATTGGGATCCTGGTTTTCTGTTTAAAAATTGCAAATTCTCTGATTAAATCCCTAAAATCCATGTTTTTCTGCTATTAAAATGACATGCCACTATATCTAGGTGTCAGTTGAACACAATATTTTATTGATTTATGTACAATTTTAAAGCAATTTGGAAGGCTACCAGTGCCTGAATCACTGTAAGTAAATTCTAAATACCTGTAAATTTTGGAATTTGATTTTGGAGACCGGTCCCAGCCGCGCCAGCAGGGCTCGCAGCAGGGCAGAGCAGGGGGCTTCTCCAGAGCCACTGGGATCTTGTGGCGGGGCAGCTTGGTCCTGGGCCAGGACACAGCCCTGATCTGCAGCCTGCACACTCTGGGCAGGGGCAAGTAGGCAGTGCATCATGGCTGTGCCCCAGCTTGGGACCAGGCTGTCACCACTGCAAGGAGCCAGGGTAGAGAGGTAATCCACTGCCTGCGCCCCCCTGCCTTGACTGCAGATTGCAGCTCTACCCTGGCCTCAGACCAAGCTGCCCCTGCCGGAAGAATCCAGCAGCTGCAGAGCGGGCCCCTGCTCTGCCCTGCCATGCGCCCTGCCAGCAAGGCTGGGGCCGGTCTCCATGTCAATCCCAGCCTTGCGCTATCACAGCGCAGCTGCAGCTGGGGTCTCTATGGAGACTGGTTCCAGCCAAGCAGGCAGCGGCTGCTGGGAAATGGAATCGGCTGCTGGCTGGATCCACTATTTTGCCCACCCCTGGTCTAGCACAACTGGAACTCCTAAAGCACTAGCTCATCTGTTAGACATTTCTTCCTCAAACAAGCAGGCTGAGACAGTTCTGGTTCCTACTGCTACTTCGCTTTCTGGAAATATGTTGAAGACCTTATGAATAAGTGTCATTCTGATAGATGGGAGAGATAAAAGGGATAAAATTCATAGTGGTTCCTTAAGTGCCTAAACTCCCTGTGAAGTCCCCAGAGACCCTTGTCACGGTCATACTCCTAGCTTTAGAAACCCATTAGGCAGTTGTCCTCAGAAGTCAGACTGGCAAATGGAGATGGCTAGCGGACGTCCTGTGCCAGGCACCTAAGTTCCAGAAAGGTAGGAGTTCAGACATTGTGGGCTTGGTACCTCGAGGCACTTTGGGACTTTCCGAGCTGCACTTTGGGGATGCTCAGTAAGTCCCTTGTGGCAAGGTGAAGCTTCGGTCCCCGATTGGATTCTGTGGAGGTTCAGCCCAATGCGGTGGCCGAATCTCTGAATCCGAATTGAATCAGAGGACCCTTTAATCTTTCCAAAGCAAATCAGAACCCTCCAAATTGATTCGGAGAGATTTGGAAAGATTTGGCAATTCGGACACAGACACAACTTTAAATGTGATGCTGGGGCGCATGGAGTATCCTGCAGAAGTGTGGGGGGCTCCCCAACACACTCGGCACCAGAAGCACTTCCTGTCCACTTCTAGGTCTGCCAGAGAGGACGTTGGGGGTGCCCCGTGCCCCCCCCCCGGCTCCGTGACTGGTGTCTCCTGGGTCTGGGGGGGCACCCGGGGTCCCCCCGCAGCCGATCGCAGAGCTGGGGGCACACAGGGGGGCCCCCCTGTGAACTTCCAGGTTCGCCAAGCATGTGTGGGCCCCCCTGTGCTCCTGTGGGACGCTCCATCTGTCCCAGCATTGCAGCGTTCACGAGCCACGCCTGGTACCTGCAGGTATGTAGAAAATATATTTAAAGCTGTGTCTTTGTCCGAATTGCTGCTTCTCCAAATCAGCATCAAATCTTCACGTTTGAATTCAATCGAATCGAATCAGGGACAGGAAGACCCAGCACCATGTTCATGACTGTCTGATGTGTGGTAAGCATGGCAGGGACTGGCACTCAAGTACTGGTCCTGTAGTAAAAATGTCTCATAATCTCACTACATAAAGGGCCTCACAGCTGAGAACTGTAATCTCACTACACAAAGGCTTCACAGCTGAGAACAGTCTTCTCCTCTCTCCCCCACCACTAGGGGGCCAGAAGGGGGGGTCCTGGTAGGGGGGGAGGACAGTCCGAACAATGC